ATGTATAAGAAGTAACCGTTAAAGAAATATTTAATAAATATACAATAAGCAAATATATGATATGGTTAAGCCACGAGTTACGTATGCCTGAACGCCACGATTTACACGACACGCAATGCTGACTAGTGTTGGAAATGGTTGGAAGAAAGTTAGAGGCGGCCAAACCAAAACGTGGCATCAGTGCTTGAAGACACTAACTTCTAGTCTGAGCCATGTTGATAGGTGCAGACTACTTAGTTGGAGTCCGCGCAACTATTGTAACGAATGGTTGAACACCCTGGATGACATGGCTTAGAATCAATCACAATGGCGTCGATGTATACACTCCCTCTCTTCCTTGAAACTATGAGATTAAAATTGCATACACATAGTTCCCCTTATTATCTTAAAGAGAGCAAGAAAAAATCAATATGAAACTTAAAAATGCATTGACAAGAACTTATTCAGCAGCTAAATTGATTGTCCTGTCTAAAAAAAAAACATGCTTTTTAACACAATCAAAAGTCAACAGGTATGAATTTCATGTTACCACTAACTGTAAATACAAATTTACATGTATCTGTCAAAGCAGTTACATTGGTAGAACAGAAAGGAGAGCCTACGTCCGATTCAAAGAAAATATTCCGAAGAGTTTAAGATCAAACGGACTAAAAGCATTCAGTAGTGCCATCATAAGACATCTTGACACAGGACACAAAGTCGACACACTGAATCCCTTCAAGGTGATTAAAAAAAATCAAACTCCAACCTTTTGAAATTTGCTGAAGCGATAGCAATCAAACGTCTAAAACCAGATCTATGTATACAAAAAGACATAGTAATAAATCTTTCTTTGCCTTGGTAACATAACCACCCCTTTCATTTTTTTTATATTTATTACGTCATTCATCATTCCAACTTTCTCTCTGAAGTTTAAAATTACATCATTCATAACTGACTGATTCCAATTTATATCTTTCTTTATTACCATCTATTCTTAGTTAGTTCTTTGCACAATCATCCAATGTCTGCTATGAATTCTAATCATTATTTCAATGTTCTGGAACTTTACCTCCCAAACTTTATTTCTTTATCTGAAATAAAATTACTTATGACCTCATTAATTCTAATGGAATCTTCGCTATATCATGATACTGATATTTATGTTTAATCACCTCCGTATGAATAAGTATGCCAATATTTGTAATAACGTTGATTTTCAAATATTAGAGGTTGTAAGCAGCTAATGAGAACCTAATGAAATGAAATGAATTCATTTATTATTCTGCATCAATGTTTGTTCTTGCTCTCTTAAAGATTAAAATTGATTTGTATCTTTCTTTTTATCAATTCATTCTTTCTTCATGTATTATATCCTTATACACAATCTTTCCTTTATATATTATTACCATTGACTCAAACACTTCTATGAATCCGGTATTCATTTTGTTATGCTAATGAGTTATGGCAACTTAGACCGATGTATATATGTGCCTAGTCATACATTGTAGCTGACTGACTGTTACAACAGAATTAAGTGGATTACACAATAATCAAATTCAGCAGAGTGAATAAAAAAAAATGTTAACAAAAAAAAGAACATTTGGTCATGCATGCAATTACGGAAATTTTATCAAACCAGAAAAAATTGGACTTGTTAACAGTTTGTACACATAAATTCACAAGAGTTTGAATCATAGATCTTTAAGACTCAAATTGATAGATAATAAATAATCTGATTAGTTGACCACACACACACACACACACGCACACACACTTAGACCAGTGTCCAATTAACAACTTTTTTTCAAAACAAAAGACCAATGCTTTGCTTTATAACTTTATGTCTGGCTTTCTACACGTGATTTGTCCACCAATCAAAATACGACTTATACAATCTTAGCACTGTACCGAACCGATGACGTTCGACCGGTATGAGCAGCCTAGAGTCCTTATCGATGCTATGTTTGCCTAGCCCGTCCATTTGAGTTCAGAACACCAATACCAGCTTCTGTCATATGAATGGAATCATTTATTTCACACATACTCGGTTTATATATCAATCAGACAGATCACAACGTACCATAAAATAGAAAATAATATGTGTACACAAATAAGCCAAAAAGGGGCTGTCAACGCGGGAGACTGTAATCAATAAACTGAGCATAGCTTAAGAACAGTTAATCGTAAAATAATAATATATAGGCCAAAATAAAGCTTATAACAAGGGGAATATAGATATACATAACTTAATTACTGAATAGTTATACCATAAGAATATATAAATAATATTAGTTCATCAATAATCCTCGAGAGTTACTAGTAATGTAATCTTCACTAGGATATAACACTTAGAGACTCTGGATGACATGGTTCAGAATTGATCAAAATAGCGTCGGTGAATCGACTCTTTATCTTTCCTTCAACTATGAGATTAAAATCGCTTCATATCTTTCTTTCAACGTAATACTTCTTTCTTCTTGTACTATATCTTTATATTACCTCCACTGAATTAACTACTTCTTATGAATCCGGTATTCATCTTGTTGTGCTAATGAAGTATGGCAACTTGGATCGATGCATCTATATGTTTGATCCTAAATTGTAACTAACTGACTGATAACTATCTGTAGGATAATTTTTAAACGTTTCATCTATGTATTTATTTTTATAAAAATACATTATTAACTTATATATAATACATATACTATGAATATAAAGATAATCAATGTAATTTACTCACTTCAAGATTACCACCAGATCTAGCATGAATTAACATTTTTAATAAAGCTACAGCTGATATTTTAATCGATTTAAAATAATGTGGATCTTTTTCCCATGGTTTAGCATTAACAATAGATTGATGAATTTTTATATCATATTTAAAATATTCATCAATTGGACCTAATATAGATTCAATATTATTTTCAGTTTCCCATAATTCACGTGTATTTGTAATTGGATGATTCAATGATGAATTGGTAAGAAGTGAATTTGAATTAATAGATTGAGAAACTATTTCTTTATTAGTAGTCATAATGGATCTAAAATATAAGAAAATAAATCCTGTACATACAATAGATTGTTAGGGAATTAAATATGTATATCGTCCCCAAATTCCCTGATATGGCCAAGAATGGGGTGGACCTGCACTCCCTCTCGAAATGCTCTCACACGGCCACGCGTATATAGCCTCTGCTAGGGAACTCCTACTCACTGCCTTCTCGTGACGGGGGTGTTGTTTACGAAAATGAGAGGATGAAAAGCAAATGTCCGGCGCTTTAACCGGATCCCAAATCAATGGTGTAAATGGGATCCAGTATCCTGAGGGAACAAATGGCATATGAACCAATTTCTTGGTCACCGGCTACCATGGGACTGCATCTCCTTACAATGCTCCACTGCCTTGTGAATCGGATCTTCAGGTTAAAGGCTCCGGGTGTGGCCCCTTAATAAAACCACCTGCTTCGGTTTGGGTTCCCTGGCAGTATCACAGCCCACATACAAATAAAATTTTGTGTGGTGCATATATATTTGGTGCCCTCTTGTACGAATATTTATGTGATCAAATAAATAAATAAAATAAATATGTATATCATACGATAACGAATCCTATAATACTGGTTACTACATCATAGTAAATTTGTTTACAATTGATTGATCACTGTATGATGGTCAATGTGATGTATGTCAGATCCTTGTTAGTGCAGATTGACGTCTATCGACCAAGTCGCAATATGGCCACTAGTACAGGTGACTCGACATTGTGTGGACTATGTTGAGATAAGATGGTGATGGAAAGTAGTCAACAGGAAACCTTAGACCTATGTTTCGTGCTACTTGACATTCGTCAGAATGGTGTACCTGTAATTTTGAGGGAACTGATGTTCCCTGATGGATTCGATCACTTGACACGCAGCTTCATAGTCAGCGGCCCATAGAGCTCAGTCGAAACGTCTCTGACTGTGAAGCTGCGTGACACGGGATCGAAACCGTCATGGAGCATCAGTTCCATCAAGATTACATGTACACATTGCTGAAGAGTGCCAAGTAGAACAAAACATATGTCCAGGGTTTCCTGTTGACTACCATCAACCACAATCTTAGTAAATTTGTGACTAACTGACTAAATACTTTTTCTTTCAACTCCTGAGCTGTAATCTTGAAAATCAATTGATCTACTAAGATCCAGCTGATAGGTTAACATTATTATCCTTATTATAATAAGGGAGTATATTATTCTTGACATAGCGACTGAGTTGGATCACTACGATAAAGTGCCACGATTCACAAATAGAACTCAAATTTAGCACATCTCTGTGAATTTAGAGGAACTTCGATGACAAGAGTCAAAGACAATCAAAGGTTGGTAACTTCTTAACAGGTAGTTTTTATGTAGTATAGCGATGAATGAGTGGCTAAAGTGGTCAACTTTCAGCCACTAAATCGCAAATTCATTAGAAAAGTTACCCAAATCCACTGATATGATTGGATAATGAATATCAACCAACAACTGATAAGTGGAATCAGGAGCATGTTTGAATGATAGTAAGCGAAACACGGTGAAAGTATGGTGTGTCTTGACCATTAACAAACATTGTTTCTGTTCACATTCATGTTTTGATTATTTTTCAAGTAGAACAGCAGGGTACTCAGTTTTGAGTTATATATTTCGTGTTACGTATAGTGATGCTATGCATCGGAAAACTTAAGTGTGTGGATCATAATTTAAATATATATGACTAAGATGTTAGGTGGTTAGAGGTAGTCGACAAGAAATCTGCGAATAGATTTTCTGGTACTTAACAATCCATAACAAGGCATACGTGTAATCTTGAGAGAATTAATGGTTTCAAGTGAAATCGGACCCATGTCCCACAGCTTCATAATCTGAAAGGCTACCACTGAGCGACTACAACTTGATCGATAGAATTCAATTAGCATTAAAGTAGGCATACAGGACAATGATCACTGATAATTGAACAACCAATTGTTGAATCTACGACTCCAAGGGTAAGTATCTAGACGTTTATTGATTATCAAAACATTAACACAGCATTATAATTTCATGGCATATGTTGTCATGAGTTTGCAGAGGTTTCTTGATAAGAGTTTGTTCAAATACTTTCATATTAAAACAAAATAAATTTCAAATGATAATCCTATTGAACAAAAACAGCATTACACTTCTTTGTTTACCAATGGTTGAGTACTCAGTGTTAGAATTGATTGTTTACAGAGAAAAAAGATGAAATATCACTTGGCACAAAACATATCACTGATTATACATATATTTTGAAAGTAATTACAGAATGCACACCAGTATAGATTCATGAGTGATTGAATTTTCATTTGTTAAAGTCACGTAATTATCACTATGATTAATCATACATACGATAAAGTAACTAAATTTTACGGATCGAAAACAAGATACCATCAACATGAAAGTTACCAAGTACATATATACACACACTCTCTCTCTCACACACACACAGAAAAACTACCTGAACATGCAAATGGAAATATATTTCAATAAAAACAAACTTTTACTATAAATACTGTATATATAAATATATGTATATTTCATTACTAAGTTTTGTAAGTAGTAAGTAGCAAATTAATAAGTAGTATAGTTCAACAATTTTATAGAACCTAAGGAACAAAAAGAGGAAAAAAAAGAGAGAATATAAATAATTTCAGAAAAAGACAAACTAAACCACCTCTATACAAATATTAATAAACAAGAGGATAAATGACTAAGAGAAATAAACAATTACATAAGAAGAAAAACAAAAGAACCCAATGTTACAAAATAATTTACAGTTTCTCAGTAACCATGGTAACAACAATGTATGTGAGAATATAAGTAAAAAAGAATTCATAGACAATAGTAAAACATAGATACTTGTCACGTATATGTGTAAATGAATGTGAATAGCTTTTAATTAAATGAAATGCTTTATTCATACTTTATTATTCTTTACAAAGATATTGTAAAAGAAATGAGTAAATTTATATGAGTAAACTATATGTTGGATGAAATATTTCAAAAAGGGGTGGTGGGTGGATCGATGGATGGATGGAAAAAAACAACTAAAAATATTTCAGTCTGAATTAATTATATTTTAATGGTTGCTTCCATTGACCACGAGGTTGTGGTTTAGTTGACTGATTCACTGATGATAATTTATGCTTATCAAATGAATTCATAATTGTTGTATCAGATAATGTTTCATTAGATAAATTTATTTTTACTAAAGGTAATCGAGACCAATTGACAAATGTTCTTAAAGGTCGTGCTGGAATATTAACATTCAATGCTTTGAGACGTAAATTACGATCAGAAGTTAAGAGAACTACTTCACGAACAAGTCGCATTGGTTGATCTGTTATCAAATAAAAATATAATAAAATACAATTAAATAATTATTTTATATCTCAATAATTGGGATCATGAGTTAATTGAAGCTAGATCATCATGGAAAATTTGGAAACACTGGACAGTCGTTTTTTCCTATTGTAAGACTCTTCGACAGTAAGCATCCATGACCTCGCCTCGCGAGATTCAAACCCACGACCTATCAGTTTCGCACGTGAGAGCTTAACGACTTAACCCCTTCTGAAATTACATTATAAATAATTAAATCTTTCAATAACAAACCATAGAGTTGCAGAGAATTTTTATAATGATTTTTTATATTTTAATATAGTCTAGAACATAGTGTTTACTAGTTTGTTCAATAATAAAACAATTTGTCTCAGTACATGCTTTCCCACAATTGAAATCGACTGAACGGTGATTTACTGTCTGATGGGAATATCATCAGCGTCTATTGCGGAGAAAGTATACCGACCACAAAGACTTAAAAATCCCTGGGATCATTTCCTATTCAATTGGTCAACGACATTTTTTTAAGTTTAGCGAATTAAACATAGTTGATTGGCATACTTGAATATCACACTAACAAATGAATCTGTTTGTAAAGAACTTAGGTACGATCATGAAGGCATTCCGGCACGATACAACCCAATGTTATAAACACTTAAAATATGATAAAATAGCTGGGAAAATGATTGGATTATTATTTTACCTCCAGAAAACTCAGGCACGATGAGAGAGAGTTAAAGTTCGTGCTTCAATAACCGTTTACATTTAAGAAAACATGAGAACATATTTGTGATATAGATATAAAACTTTCAATTTCTTTTAATTGTTTAAATCACAAACTGATCTCAGATTACTTTTGAAAACGTGAAAGCACTAAATGCCTGTTTCGTCTTAGTATGGGACTCCTTAGCAAGGCATATCCAGGACATGGCACCTAGGAATTGAATTTAAGGTCTCGCGCACAAACACCTAACTTCTAGGTCACTAAACCGGAATCCAATGATTCAATTTATGATATTGTGCAACCCTCATTTATTACCTGCGGTGGATAACAGTCTCACATCCGACATAACTGAACTATACTGGTTATCGCAAGTTTTTTCGAAAAAAAACATTCTACCATTCTAATCAGCGTATATTGGTATATATGGCTTTTTAAATGGTACAACTGTGTCAGAACACTCAGTGCCATGAGTTTAAAACTAATTTCCTTACCAAACAATAGGACATCAATTCATCATTCTAAAAAAAATCTGTTATTTCCTAAATTAATAGTGAACATTGAAATTGAACTACGTATATTGTAATGAATAAAAAACTCACATTATATATAAACAATTACTCAAACTTACTATTTTGATCACCCTGCATAGATTGATCAACACCTTGAGTAAGATTTCTTAATTGAAAACGATCTGAGTCTTCTTTACAAAAATGTTGACAACACGTTAGAATTACATCATCATTTGTTTGACCAGGTGTTCGACCACCATTAATTTCATTTCGATAAGCAATAGTCTCCATTAAACTACCACGTGCTGTTAATGCACGTAAACGAGAGTTTCGATGATCAAATTGATATTCTAAATAGTTGATTGCAAGTTTTGCACGTTCTTGTATCAAACCAGCACGTGTTACTTCACCGCCAACAGCTGTTTCATATGGACGATCAATTCCACCGCCACCGGAACTACTACTGCCAAAACGACTTAAAGTATCTAATTCATTGACAACTATAAATGAGAAAAACAAATAAATAATAGTAAGCAATGAAATGAAAGGGTTTTTCTAAGTAATCAGCTGAACTATAGTCTTATTAAAAGATATTCAAGGTTGGTGAAATTATCCTCCTCAAGTGTCACCATAGCCAACGATTCTAGTGCACAAAACACTGTCACAGGTCTACTGAAACCTCGCTGCAAACTATACATTGGAGCCTTCAACGTACGCACCCTATGTCAAATCGGTCAGCAGGCTTCCTTGGCTAAAACCCTAGAGTCTCTTTCCATTGATGTATGCTGTGTCTCCGAAACACGCATACAGGATTCCAGTGTGGTCATTCACTTGACCTCACCTCGGCAAAACGGAGAGCCAACGAGATACACCCTCCGTGTATCTGGTGACCCGATGGCCAGTTCTCGTGGACTGGCAGGTGTAGGCATAGCACTAAGCATGAGGGCGGAACAAGCACTATTAGAGTGGATCCCCGTTAACAGTCGTCTATGCGCTGTTCGGCTAAACGGCTCCGTAAGAACTCGGAAGGATAGGGACACACGTCGTTGCCTTTTCGTCGTTTCTGCCTACGCTCCCACTGACTGCAGCTCGGATGAAGTGAAAGATGAATTTTACAGAAAGCTGTCTGAACTTCTTCAGAAAGCTAAACGTTCAGACATAATACTCGTAGCAGGTGGGTAGCTCAAATAAAACAGAACGACATTTATGTATGAATTTAAGTATTCCGGCACAGCGAACAGATAATGGTGATCGTCTGTTGCAACTGTGCTCAGACAATCGTTTATTTTTAGCAAACACAAATTTTAAGCATAAGGAGAGACATCGTGTAACATGGCGACCCCCTGCACCAAACCAACGATGGACTCAAATAGACCATATTGCCATCAGTCATCGTTGGGGAGGGTCAACAGAAGATTGTCGCTCATTCTAGGGTACCTGCTTGGACTCTGATCATGCCTTAGTACGAGCACGCATCTGCTTGCGCCTCACTGGACGCCAAAAAGCCACACAAAAAAGACTCATTAGAACCGAATTGAGTAATGAGAAAGCCAAAAGTAGGTTCCAGGAACAACTGAGGTCACACTTAGGTAGTTCTGAAAACGAGACTGACCCAGATGTTGCTTGGAAAGTTATACAAGCAGCTGTGGAAACAGCAGTGACATCTACCAGTGATTTAAACCACAGGTTACAAAAACCAATGGATTTCTTCAAGGTCTATTGCACTGATAGATTCTCGCAAACTCATCCCATCAGGTTTTGAATACGATGAAGAGCGTAAAGAAATCAAATCTAGATTAAGCAAAAGTCTAAGGAATGATCGTGAGCAGTGGTGGGCAACGAAAGCAAAAGAGATGGAAAGGGCGGCGGCTATAGGGAACACAAGACAACTCTGCAGACTAATAAAAGAAACTGGAATTAATAAATCAAGTGTAAGTCAGACCATTTCGGAAAAAGACGACAATCTCATCTGCTCCCAGTCCAGACGCTCAGAACGATGGGCGGAACACTTTAAGGAGCAGTTTAGCTGGCCTTCAGCTACTCTACAACTACCCTCTATTCCCAGACAGTGTGAATGGAACATTGAAGTAGGTCCCCCAACTCTAGCTGAAGTTCAAAAGGCTATAGCTAATCTGAAACGAGGAAGGGCAGCTGGTCCAGATGGATTGGCCCCAGAGGTCTTTAAGGATGGTTGTCTAGTCTTAGCGATTAGGTTGACTAATATTTTAGCTAAAATCTGGGAGTTAGACGTTATTCCATCTAACTGGTCACAATCACTTATCGTCCCAATATTTAAGAAAGGGTCAAAATCATACTGTGACAACCACAGAGGGATTAGTTTGACTAATATAGTATCTAAAATACTAGCTTCGATAATTTTCGGACGCCTAACTAAGACTCGTGAACTGCAAACACGTGAAAATCAGGCTGGCTTCAGACCTGGTCGTGGCTGCATCGACCACATATTCACCATTCGTCAGGTTCTAGAACACAGGCATACTTATCGGCGTCCGACAATGGTGGTATTCCTTGACTTAAAAGCAGCGTTTGACTCTGTTGACCGAGAGGTTCTGTGGCAGTGTCTGTCATTGAAAGGCGTACCTCAGAAGTACATAAACCTTGTGAAGGCTCTTTACTCGAACACTACTAGTCGGGTCAGAGCCTATGGCGAACTGTCATCTGCTTTTGCAACCTCAAGTGGCGTCCGTCAAGGCTGTCCACTTTCTCCTTTTTTGTTTAACTTTATCATAGACATCCTGATGGAAATAACGCTCTCATCGACTGACTTCTCGGGTATTGATCTCCTACCAGGAGGTCCACTTATTGACTTAGAATACGCAGATGACATAGTCCTGTTTGGTGAAGACGCTGATGAAATGCAGAGTCTTTTGGTAGCACTGAGCAACAATGCCAGAATGTTTGGGATGCGCTTTTCTCCCTCTAAATGCAAGTTGTTGCTTCAGGACTGGTCTGCATCAACACCTGAACTAAGGATTGGGGTGAAGTAGTCGAACGCGTTGACAACTTCACTTATCTTGGAAGTCTGATCAGCCCTAATGGGTTGGTGTCTGACGAAATCTCAGCACGGATTCGAAAAGCTCGCTTGGCCTTTGCCAACTTACGTCATCTATGGCGAAGGCGAGATATCCGTCTATCAATTAAGGGACGAGTATACTGCGCGGCAGTTCGTTCCGTCCTTCTATACGGCTGCGAAACATGGCCTTTAAGAGTGGAAGATATTCGTAAGTTACTAGTATTTGACCACAGGTGCCTTAGAAATATTGCGGGTATCTGCTGGGATCACCGGGTAAGTAATAGTGAGGTTAGACGCAGGGTATTAGGGAATGATGGTAAATCAGTTGATGAGGTTATGAATCTTCATCGACTGAGATGGTTGGGCCACGTGTTGCGTATGCCTGAACACCGATTACCACGACGCGCAATGCTGACTAGTGAGAGGGATAATTGGAAGAAAGTTAGGGGCGGCCAAACCAAAACGTGGCATCAGTGCTTGAAGTCACTAACTTCTGGTCTGAGCCATGTTGGTAGATTCAGACTGCCTGGTTGGGGTCCGCGTGACTATCGTAACCAATGGTTGGAGACTCTTGGTGACATGGCTCAGAATCGATCACAATGGCGTCGGTGTATACACTCTCTGTCTTCCTTAAATTAAGAGATTAAAATCGCTTCATGTCTTTCTAGGAACTAATTCTTTCTTCCTGTACTATCTCCATATGCACAATCTTTCTTCTATATATTACCACCACTGAATTAACTACTTCTATGGATCCGGTGTTCATCGTGTTGTGCTAATGGTGTGTGTCAACTTGGACCGATGTATATATGTGCCTGGTCCTACGTTGCAGCTGACTGACTGACTATGTTTATGATATATTTATTCGTTCGTTTAAATCGGAGTCAGATATAGGGTCACTAAGTGACTATGGTTTCTTATAGACTGACTCGAACAACCCCGAACTACATAAAGTTTGAAGCTATTAGTCCCTTTGAAAAATTTCGATAGTGTAATAAGAAGACGGAGATTATCAGAACTATGATACATATTAGTGCAATACATTTCGAACAATATGTTCACACATATACTTGTTAAAAACACTTATATATAAATGATTATTGAAAAAATACAACTGGATTGTAAAGTTTTAAGAAATACATGTATTCATATTGAACTTACCGACAATAGGAACCAGTACAGTGTAATTTGAAGATTTTTGAGCTAATGTAGCAATACCTTCTAACCAATCAATATAACAATTTGTATCCGGTAATAAATAAATTGGTCTAACTTCAATCTCAACAGCTCTTTGTCCACCAGATGCTGCTTGTCTAATAGCATTACGACGCCATGCGTCTAGACGGGCTTCTTCATCTAGTTGCTTTTGAAGGAAAGCTCTTTGTCGTTGTAAAGCTGCGATATCCGTTAAGACAGAATTAGACTCTATTGTACAATCATTTGATGAGAGATTTTTGTTATCACTCAACTAAAAGGGTAAAATGATAAAAAAAGAAAATAATCCCAAAAAGAAAAGACCATATATTTTGTTAAATATCATGATTCAAAGTTTTTTATAACAAACCTGTATATATTACTGATTATAGTATTAGTAGTTAAATATTATGCACAACGACAGATTACAGATTTCTTCAGCGAAACCACAATCATCCCGGAGAGAATGATGTAAGGGAAGAATTAAGTCTGAAAATATGAAGTGTGCGCTTGAAAAAGAGTTTAAAATGAGAGTAATGAGGAAGAATATTGAACTATGTCTCCAGACCATTCGTACAAATTTATCACGATTTATTTATATCTAAAGGTTTTACCAAAGTAGCCTATCAATTCGAGAATGAACTGTGTGTACAAGGGTAATGTGTTAAATTTCTCATTTTATTATGAAATCACTTCCCTCGTAAAAACAGGAAGGAGTGTTAGTATCTGCATCTCCAAGCACATTCCACAGTAGCTTAAACTCAGAGGACAATACATTATCAGCAGTGCAATTGTACTCCATCTGCTTGACAACAGCTATGGTGTTGATGTCTTAAAGTCCTTCAAGATAATTAGTAAATAAAGAATGTCAGATTTATTACATTTTGTCGAAGCAATTGTCATACAAAGACTTAAATGAAATTTATGTATCTAGAATGATTTAGTCGTCAATTTTATCTTGCCATGGTGAACTCATTCATAAATGTTTGTTACGTAATTCTTTTTTTCATGACACTAATTAGTCATTCATATTTCTTAAGCTGATCTGTACTCAGTTAATTAATGTTGCTTTAAGGATTACATAACTATAACATAAATATATCGTTTCTAAATAATTCTGTATTTTTTTTATGCTTTTGGTTGTTTATTCAAGAAGAATCATATATTCAACCTATAAATATTCACATTAATCAACAATATGAACATCTCTTATCGTTATTTCATACGTATTGCTCTTTTCACATTAGTCTTCATTGATGAGAACACTTCCGATGTTATGATGATATAAAGTATGTATGCTGATTTCTAAAGATTAATACCATTATGTTTATGGCCACGCGTATATAGCCTCTGCCAGAGAAGTCCTACTTACTACCTTCTCTCAGAGGGGATGTTGTTTACGAAATTGAGAGGACGAATGTCAGATGCTTTAACCGGGTTGGTGAACACAGAGTCTACCCAAGTGAGTTAGAAAACCCTGATTCCAAACCAATGGTGCACATGGGCTCTAGTATCCTGAGTGAACAAATGGAGTACGAACCAATGATTGGTCGCCGGCTACCATGAGACTGCATCTCCTGACGTTGCTCCACTGCCTTGTGGATCAGACCTTTAGAGTGAAGGCTCCGGGTGTTGCCCCCAGAAAAATCACCTGCTACGGTTTGGGCACCCAGGCAGTATCACAGCCCTCACACAAATCGAATGATTTATGTGGCGCATATGTATTTGCGGCCTCCTGTACCAATATCTATGTGTTCAAATAAATAAATAAAATTAAGTTTAGAAGCTGTAAGTAGCTGACGAGAAACCATGAAATATAATGAATTCAATATTATTCTGATATAATTATGCTGTTACCACTTACTACAGACATTAACTCCAACTGACGTTTCTCTTCATTTTCGAAACTGATATCTGAAGTATTCTGTATAATATTTGCTTTAACATCACGTTTATCTTGAAGACGTTCAGAGGATTCACGTTGTATAACAGATTCATAAACCGCTCGGTCAATATTATAGCTTAATACAGGCGTTTCAATTCCACATAAATAATCACCAAATAAAACTAATTTCTCTATTCGAACAAAATCTGCTACAGTTTCTGGATCCCAGTCACCTGTGTAATAATATATCTGTAGGATAATTGAAACAAAATAACCCCCAAAAGAGATAGCATAATTAGAAAGTACTGGTAAAAAACAGTACTAAAACATGCCGTATTGTCTGACTTTCATCAAACTTCCTAGAGGCAATCGAAAGATAATTTTCTTTATTTTTGTGTTTCATTGATCAATAACATGAGATATAATCTCTTATTCTTTCACAATCTCTCTCTGAGATTCTTTGATTCGGCAGCTAATGCATAGAGAAATCATTCACTTGCGAATGATCAAATTCAACTATCTATTAATCAATCATCCTTTGTAGTGACCATGTTTCAAAAGTAATACTGTTGTTATTATTCAGAAAATTCATTTGTGCCAAAGTTTATCCTAACTTGTCGACTAAGATGATTAATTAATAAATGACCGGTGAAGTCCAATCAGTGTCTGGTAGAGACAGAGTATCTACTTCAGACAATAGATGAATGGTTGCGCAAGATCATGGATTGCTTGAAGTTAGACATTGATACCGTTGGATGCCGGTTCAATTGTCTAAAGGTGAAGCATTCACACGCGAGACTGGTGGTTCTAGGTTCAGGCCCCTCATGTGCATTGCTGAGGAATCCCATACTAGGACAAATCGGCCGTCCAATGATTCCAGGTTTACAATAGTGGTCTAGCTTACATCGACTCATGAATTCAACCATTGAAATCACTACAATCTCCACAAACTCCCATTCTGATCATAATTAATTAATAAACAGAAGTTTTATGCAGATCTTATTATTAAGAACAGTTACATCATTAGTATTAATTACCGTTGGGAAAATTTTCAGTAACAAATGAAAATGTTATAACAGAAATTACTAAAAACCAAATCTATTGAATAAGTTTATTTAAAAAAAAAAACAAGACCACTTAGAACATACTTTAGGCGTTAAATCAAGCATAGGCTTGAATCCTGCAACAAATACTTCTTCAGAAAGAAAAGCAGCTTTATACAAGTTGCCATCTTCAAAGATATGATATAAAGTAGAGGATTTATCTGAATCATCATCTAATTTTTCATCATAGTTAAGTTCACCTTTTAATCGAAGTACAAGAGATGTTGTTGGTGTAATCTCTTCATATTTTGGTCTAACAGATAAACGTGCAAGCCAACTAGCTGCTTCAGTGCATAGTTTAGCAACAAGTAACCAATCATCTAAATGTGGTCGAAGTGTAGGATCACGATGATTTGGTGGTGGTAACCAATGTTCAGGATGTAAAATCATCCATTCAGTCCATAGGCATAATGCGGAAAGAAGAATTCGTGCATCTGGTGATAACCAACCTGGACTAGCATCCATAGGGGGAGTCTATGAAAAGTATACATAAAAATAAAGATATAATTGATTAAAGGTTATTTGATTGGATAATATTCAATTGAGTTATAATTGTTCTTATGAACCTAACGTTGTTATGATGAAATAGCTATAGTATTTTAGAAATAATAAAACTGAATATAATATACACAAAAGTAATGACATAAGCACTTAATTACTAATGGGTGACTCCTGAGCGGGAATGTAAACGATTCTAACGTATTCTTAACCATTATTGATGCAATCCGACAAGGAAGTAAACTTTAGCCTAATAGAGTTTGGGTGATTTTTTAAATGTATGTTATCAGCTTGAAGCGAAGTCTTAGCTGTAAGATTTTGTAGCTCTACTCGGCTGCCCAAAACAGAGTAGGCAGAATCGGGTTCAAATATGAGATCTAACGATTCAAAAACAAGTGTTTTAACCACGGAGTCTTTGCTACACTTTAAATTACTTAATAGCTTAAGTCGTAGTCGATAAATTGATGATGTGGCAATTCTTAATCCAGTTATGGGGAACTTTTAAATCACTTCTATAGATGAATAAGTAATAGATTAATTAAGTTTCGAATATATTATATACATATTACTCTTTATTGAACTATGCCCCCAAATGCCCTGGTACGGCCGAGAGTGAGGAGAGTCCGCACTCCCTCTCGAGATGTTTTAACAAGGCCACGCGTACATAACCTCTGACGGGGAAGTACTACTCACTGCCTTCTCACACAACGGGTGTTGTTTTCGAAGATGAGAGGACGAAAAGCGAATTTCCGGCGCTTTAACCGAATCCCAAACCAATGGTGCACATAGGCTCCAGCATCCTGAAGGAACAAATGGCGTATGACCCAATCGTTGATCACCGGCTACCATTGGATTGCATCTCCTTACGATGCTCCACTGCCTTATGGGTCAGACCTTGAGGTCGGAAGCTCGGGATGTGGCCCCCTAAGAAAACCACCTGCTTTGGTTTGGGCATCCGGGCAGTATCACAGCCCTCACACAAATCAATTGAGATTTGTGTGGCGCATATGTATTTGGTACCTCCCTGTACCTATACTTATGTGTTAAAATAAAATAAAAATAAATTATTGAACTATGAAAGACCAAACAAGAATGAAAAATAAATTTAAGGATACAACTACAACAAACTACTTTCTACATAAAGTAATGAATATTAAATCAAGTTTAAAATGACAAAATCGCCTTTAGTAATACTTCCTTGATAGTTAACGAATTTTGAAGGTACCCCCCCCCTGTAAGCTTTACATTGACGTTTTAAAATGTTACATAAAAAAAAATATTATTTACCTCTTGAAGTAATTGTGCTGCTCTTCTACATACTAAACTAAATGTATCCAATGCAAAACGTGCAGCATGATCATGATGAACAGAACGTAATGCTTCAATTTCATTAAGACGTGAAGATGAAATAAAATTATCCATGTTTATATTTAAAGATATTTTATTATCATTATTATTAACATTAATTTTAGATTCATTTATTCGATTTTTTACAGAATTACTTATTGTATTTGTTTGATTTGTCATAGATGCAGCACGATCTACATTGAACATATTTACAACAAATAATTGACATAAACGTTCAGTTGATAAAGGACATGGTTTTTGTGCTAACAGACCAGATAAAGCTTGAAGAGTTAATGAAGCCACTTCTGGAAATGTTTCCATACTGATAAAATAAAAATATATTATTTCTTTTTAAAATAATAATAGAATTAAATTACTAACTATTAAGGAACTAATAATATACTTTACCGATTACAAAAGAAAATAAACACTTTATGGACATCGTTAAAAGAAATTGTGAAGATAGGTTTAATTTTTATGCAAGACTTTATCACGGATGGGACGCAGAACATTCAGGTCTCGTGGTGGACTTTATGATGTTTCTGAAATTCTAGTGAGAACATGTGCAACTGATAGAGTCCAGACATTTAGAGAGCGAAATAGTTGTCACTAATTGCAGTGGATGATCGTCGTGTTATATTGTGAATTGATTGAAGCTGAAACTATAAAAGTAGATGCCGACCCTGTGGTTCTAGTGTTTCGGGATTTGCCGTAAGCCTTGAAAATTATAGACGCGATATCTAGAAGGGATGCGAGTATGAACTGCTGAGGAGTCCAATAGTTGAACAAACCCGGTGTCTAATCGTCCCCAGTTTTCATTGGTACCCTAGATGAGGGTAATCAGTTACAGATACAATGTAGATATAAAAAACAACACATTTCATGAATTACTCTTGAGAACAGGGATTTAAAACTTGTGTTGTATTGTAAAATATTAGGCTTGACCACAATAAATGGCATTGGCAAATTTAACCAACTTGTAATAATTTACGCTTTAATCTTGTGCCCCGGCTTCCCAGTGTAATGTATGATGATCTGCTCAAAAGATATTTTGTTACATTCCGAGAAATAGAGCATTTCGATAAAACATATAAGATAGTTTGTATATTTGTCTTTCGTATCTCATTAAGTAACTGAACTATATGAACTCACAGAATTCACACAATGATTAATTACCACAATAGTCAACCATACATCCCATTTATTTTATCATTCCTTTGCTTTTGGTTTGGTTTTCTTGATTAGCATGACTGACAAGGGAGTATTCTCTAATGCTCTGTATTTCGATATCTCTGCTTTTATATTGTTGAGAGTTATAACCGTAAAGGTATTGGAGTCGACTAGTTATACAGGATAAATATGTCTAGGATTTGGATCAGAATAAGATACACCTAAACATTATTATCACTAATGCAAACAATCCGTCAAAGGCAGTGTTGATTGATGACAAAGTTTTTGGACATTCCCAGTTAGATATATGCTATCTGTCACTAACACTATAAAAGTGTCTGCATAGAAAACTCGTACAGTCAAACTGATTTACAACTTGTGCATTAATTGTAACGGCGCTAAAAGATCGCCCAGATTGACAAAACCTAATCTAACTTTGGATAACATTCAGAAAAAAAACTCGACCATTTCCAAAAAATGGTTACAAAAAGCGACTAGAAGTAGAAACGTCTCTATTAATGTCTCACATAAGTATTTTATACCTAGACAATGAAATGAAATACATGCTATACACACGGTAACGAAAATTATTTTAAAAACAATACACTATATTTATATCTCCATTAAGAATTTTTGAGCAATTACTTGATAACTAATTGAACGCTTCTTTATTGTAGAAAGAGCCATGTTTATTATGCAAAGCTTTATAAGTACTCATTGTTTAGTTGCCTCTTCAGTGTCATATGAAAAAGAGGATTTAAACTTAGGATCTTGAGTTAATTAAACTAAATTACATAACGGAATAACTTCGTGTAAACGATCGGAAAAACATTTAAACAAGTCTCTGTTAAAACTTGTGAGTTTATGCTCCTATCAATGAGTAACGTAATGATGCCGCCAATTAGAGAATAGTGGGTCATCGACCGGACCAATGACACATAAAACACGTACGAGCAGTCTTTAGCGGTCCTTCTTCCTGCCTAGCTCTGCCCGTTGAGTCCAGAACACCAATCTCAACTGCTGCGATATGTATCATGTATTTCAAACATACTGGGTTTATAGGCAAACCAAACAGACCACATCGTACCACAAAATAGAAAACAACATTTGTACAAGATTTAGCCAAAAGTGGATGTGAATGTGGGAGATAGTAATTGATAGACTAGGCATAAATCAAGAATGGTAAATCGTATAATAATAGTTCATAGGTCAAAATAAAGATTATAATAAGAGGAACACGAATATGCAGATAGTTTAGTTACTTAACAATGACACGATAAAAATATACGCATAGTATTGGTCCATAAATGGATCCCAAAAGTTACCATTTATTATTCTGATCGGGATATAACAGTCTCACACTAAAAAGTATTTCTTTTAGAGACAAACCAAAGGAATTCAATTAATTTATTAGTTGATAATTAAAATATCAAATAAATTTAAATCCTAATAGTTCACTAAAAACAAACATAAAACTTAATGGTGGGACTATAATTGATGGATGACATTTGAGCAACGCAGAAGTGACCTTGAGAGTGTTCACCTAGTAACTAGGACTAAATGAAGGTTATAAACCAGTGTGAGGAATTTATATTATGATTTACAGTTGATGGTTAGGGTTAGGAATTACACTTAAGGTTCTCATCACGAACTGACATCAAACTATAATGCCAAAACTCTATTTATCCAAATAGATAAGTGAATTTCGCACCGAAATTTGAGACCTTTTATCTTATACCTGATTGGTTCGTCCATAAATTATAGTCTCGCTAAATTAATTTTAACGAAAAAATACAGCTTACCCAATTTTGGTATATAATTTTCCATGAGCATGAATAAATGCCAACCCGAATTGTTTACTTAGCTGAAAATATAAACAATGAAAGGTTAATAAATAAATTTACTTCAGTTCTAGTATATTTAGTATGCAATCATCAATGAAATCCAGAATATATGTTTCGTCCTACTTGGAACTCATTAACTGGATATACGTCTCACATTTCAGTATTAATATTTACATTGAAACCCAAACTTAATGTCGATCGCTATTAACGTGTGTAGTTCTATTTATTATATGACTCAAAAAAAAATTACCAGACAATATCGAAGTCAGAATATTCAATACGAACGTCAAGACAGTTCTACTGTACGGAGCTGAAGCTTCGAAAACTACCACAATCACCATCAAATAAGTACAAGTATTTATAAACAACTGTCTACTCAAGATACTTAATGTCCGTTGACCGGATACCATCAGTAACAACCTACTGTGGGAGAGAAGAAACCAACTTCCATCTAAGGAGGAAATTAGAAAAACAATTTGCAAGTCGGTAGGATATACATAGCAGAAATCATCAAACTACAACACGAGGCAAGTCCCAAATTGAAATCTTGAGGACAAAAGGAAAAGAAGTAGATCAAAGAAAACATTTCGATGAGAACCGGGGATGAATAGCACTTGGAAACAACCGAAAAGGAAAGCACAGGACACATTTGGTTGGAGAATCTTTGTCGGCGGCCTGTCCTCTACGAGTGGTAACAGGCTTAAGTAATTTTATTCATATAATTTTAACTATAAACTGATATCAATTTAAGCACCCTAATGAAAATTAAAAACATCAATTTATTATGGTGCCACCATGACTTTTTCAAAGTCCTAATTGAAAGCTGTGTTATTTTGCATTAAACAAAAAATCGGTTATCTCCACCAAGTCTTCGTTCACTTCATTTTAATTAAAGTGTGACATTTCAACTGGATTTTCGGAAATATGCTACAGTATTGGATATTTGAATAGGACTCAATGACCCTATAGTAATAAATGTAAAAGACAAAATGGAATCTATTTAAAGAATATTTTATTTCGACTCCTTAACCATTTACAAAATTAATGTCGACCTAACTATGCTGACATAAATGTGAAAATGTAGGTAGATTCATATTTGCGACAGATGTTAAATTAATAATCATTGAACAACTGAATAACTGATATCTATCTAGTTTTCTAAATATTAGTGCAGGCCTAAAGGTCTGATCCACAAAGCAGTGGAGCAATGTCAGGAGATGCAGTCGCATGGTAACCGGTGACCAATCATTGGTTCATACGCCATTTCTTCCCTCAGGATCCTATAGCCCATAAGCATCACTGGTTGGGAGTCTGGGTTTTCCCGCTCCCCTAGATGGATCTTCTGTATCCACCGGTTAAAGCACCGGACATTCGCTTTTCATCCTCTCAATTTCGCAAACAACACCCCCGCCATGAGAAGGTACAGAGTAGGACTTCGCTAGCAGTGGCCGTGTGATAGTAGTTAGAGAGGGAGAGTTGACTCTCCCACCCCTCGGGGAATTACATTACTTACCATGTACTAGTTGGCAAATTAGAATGTGTGTTAAACAAATAGATAGACAGACAAGAATACCAATGATATGCCCAAACATAAACTTTGCATAACATCAAGACAGAAGTAAAACACAAATGAAAACGTAAAAATTTGTGAATATATCCATAATTTAAAGCAAACACATTGTTCATCCTAAATCATACAAGGAATTGAAATCATGATATTATGACATCATAATAAGCGCGTAAAGTTTAACTTATGATTTTAAACCTAAGACTTCATATATTTCATGTTCGGCCAAGTCATTTGTTATTTATATCATAGCCAAGACTAATACAAGTTATTCAACTGATCTAATAGTTTCGTTTTATTTAATATTAGTATTTATATCGAATGCCTTTACAATGAAAGATAACATATGACTGTTCGATGATGACGAAGACACTTACTTCAATCAAAGAAATATTAGCATATTCTTCAGCTTCTGCCTGTGCCTCTTCATCATCTTCATCTTCATTGTCAACTTCAAGTTCAGGAGTTGATGTATTTAATTTTTGAATTGATTTCCCTTGAATATTGTTGCTTTCATCAACAATTGGTTTGATATTTGAATGCATCAAACGTCGTCCACCTTGAATAACAGTAGTCTGACCATCAATTGGATGAATCCATATTTCAGCACGTTGAAATCTTGGATTATGTGAACTAAATCCAGAACAATGAGGTTGAACTGATTCAGTTTTCGGTTTCTGAAACTGACGTTTAAAAACACCACTTTTAATGAAACAAAAATATGTGAACTGATCAGTATCGTCATCAGCAATTCTTTTTTTTTATGAGTTGTATTTCACAGTAAAAAATTTGAGAGACTTTATCTGAAATTCAATAACTTCTGTCTAATAGAGCTAAAGACAAGATTAGTCAATGAGGATGGACAAACAAGTACTTAGCCTACTGACTAATAAGTATGTGATTTCTTTCCATTGATCTCTATTCCGGACTCACTCACTGACTGCTTGTAATCATATTGAATAAAGTATTATCTAATGTTAATCTGGTTCTCTATTCTGAGTTGTGAATTGTGGATTCCATATAATGTGACTAGTATCATTATCGTGTTAATGTGTTATCTTGGTATACTTGAGAAAGAAAAAAATTTTTTAAACCATCCGTTACATCAAATCGGTGACGGGAGATTTTAAAACGAACATCACTACATTTTGTGATCGGATATATTTTTTTCAGTCAAAAATGGATACTTTGGAAGTAATACTAGATCTATTTGTTCAAACTCAAGTGAAAATTATCAGTATCTTGGAGAAAAGTGTGCTTAATAATGATGACACTAAGCAAGATTTATTTATTTATTTATTTGAACACATAAATATTGGTGCAGGGGGGCACCAAATATATATGCGCCACACAAAACAATGATAATTTGAAGAGAAGGAGAAAAGAGAAAAAAAAAGTAATGAACGTGGGGAATCATAAAAAAAAGGGAACCAGAAGAAACCCAGTGCTTGTAAGCGGGACGTTTCGCAAACCCACAACTGACTTGACCCGCCATTTTCATGGCGTCATGCAATTGCAACCAATGCTCATCTATACTTTTCGGTGGAATGGTAGCTAGCCTAGAAGCTAGCTCGGTTCGGTACTTACTAGCAACAGAAGTTGCAGCCAGCTTGCTAACATCAATCCTGTGGTGGCGGTCACTTCGTTGTCCACTGAAAAGTAAGGTAAGATTGGCGCAGACCAGAGCATGATCAGATTCCAGATAGGTACTCCAAAAGGAGCGGCAGTCATGTACACAACCACGCCAGCGGTAGCTGATCGCGATGTGATCAATCTGAGTCCAGGCTTGAGATGCAGAAGGGGGACGCCAGGTGGCACATCGGCGATGACTGTGCCGAAAGTTAGTGCTAGCCAGAAACAGGTTGTGGTTTGTGCATAGTTGCAGTAGACGTTCCCTGTTATCTGTCCTGCGACCAACGAGTCCCGACCGGCCACCTAAACGACTCTCTTCTGTGCCTAGACGCCCGACCTGAGCATTCAAGTCTCCAGCTAGTACTACAATATCTGTCGAACGCACTTTCTGGAGAAGAACAGTTAGCTGGTGGTAGAACTCGTCCTTGATTGCATCCGGGCTGAGCAAGATTCAAATGTTTCTATGTTGGACTCTGACCAGTCTAATAATTTAACTATATCAACTGAAGTTCTAGATTGATGTGAGAATAATGCTCCAAATGAATCAAATTCTGATCAAATTTATGATGTTATTTTACCAGATATCGGTTGTCTTAATTACTCATTTATTTCTAATGAAACCTTAATTAAATGTGAAGAACAAGTTCTAAATGAGTTAAAATCTGATTACAGTTCTGATGGTGTCACATCAGGTGTCATTTGTCTTCACAATAGATTTATTTCCAGTAATATCCTTAATGAATGTGCAAAAATATCTCCCAAATGAGTCACACTTCTGATGTTATTATATCAGATGTTGAATATTCTCACAAATTATGTACGTCGAGTAGGATCCTCAGCCAGTGGTATGATGAATCAGAAGCCATAAAAAATTTTTTCCGAAGCAACCAGAGAACCAGTTTGCCCAGACGTGACGTAGCAGAGGCTTGAAACTCAAACTTTGTCCAAAATTGTCATTATGAGAATGATGCAGATGCATATATTCTATCGAAATTTCTTGCAGGCGAATCAGGTTTTGATGAGTCAAATATCGAACTAAATACAGATGGTATGGTTATAACTGGAACAATGGCCCTATTTTGCACGTGAAAGATGAGAAAAAGAACATACATGTCATTCTTTACACAAGTCAGAATTGCATGATGGAATACCTTTATGTGTATGTCCTGATGCTCACATACAATCGAAGTGTGAGATATGTGAAAACAGTGTCGATCGGGGACGTAGAATAGTCCATAAAATCGCAATATAAGGAACCTACATTGTTTCATTATTCTGTTTAACGGAATACAATGGACAGTTTGGATGCAAGTTGAAGACTTGGACTTCAGAGATGATCTGGCCCTTCTATCCCATACACACGAACAAATGCAGATGAAGACAACTGGTGTAACAGCAGTCTCTGCATCAGTAGGCCTCAACATACAGGAAAAGGCAACATTCTTAAATACAACACAGCGAGCACCAACTGAATCACACTTGATTTAGAAACTCTGGAAGATGTGTAATCTTTCACGTACCTGGACAGCATCGTTGAGGAACAAGGAGGGTCCGATACAGATGTAAAGACGAGGATTTGCAAAACAAGGGCTGCATTCCTACAGTTGAAGGACATATGGAACTTAAAACAACTATCAATCAATATCAGAGTCAGAATCTTCAATACGAACGTCAACACAGTTCTATTGTACAGAACTGAAACTTCGAGAACTACTACAACCATCATCAAATAAGTAGAAGTATTTATAACCAATTATCTACGTAAGATATTCAATGTCCATTGATTGGACAGCACCAGCAACAAACTGTTATGGGAGAGAGCGAACCAACTTACAGCTAAAGAGGTAATTATGAAAAGACGACGGAAGTGGATAGGGCACACATTGGGGAAATCACCAAACTGCATCACGAGGCTAGCGCTAACCTGGAACTCTGAAGGGAGACAGAAAAGAGTAAGACTAAAGAACACACTGAGGCAGGAACTGGAAGCAGAAATTAAAAGGATGAATAGCAACTGGGAAGGATTGCCCAGGCAGAGTTGGATGAAGAGTGCTGGTGAGTGGCCTGTGCTCCTCCAGCGGGGCAACAGGCTTAAGTAAGTAAGTACATTGTTTCGTGGTGGAGAAGCTATATACATGCAGTGCAAGGGCATATACTATTAGTGTCATAATGCTGATTCAATGTTTCCAAATGAATGAGGGAAAAAACCACTTACAAACTTGGAGGGAAAGATTATATGTGGTAAACGGAAATTATCCTTCTACAACTTAATAGAAGTGACACAGGAGCAACCACAGTGTAAGTTGATAAAAATTCTAAAAATATCACTGGTATTATTTTCACTATTCACTAATATTATTATCGTATTATGACTTTTTCGACTCACAGCTTGTGAATCGCCATTTGTTTTAATGATGCGAAGTCCAGCAGCTTGAACCGACCAATTATTTTGGCAGATTCTACTTAGCTTAGATCGTTTATCCTCCTTAGTATACATCACAGACTGACCTTAAACAATCACCGAAAACCGGGAAGCATTGAATAACTGGTTAGTCTTAGTGTGAGATCCCTCGGTAGTGCGTATCTACAACCCCCTCAGAAGTCGATCCCAGTACCTTCAACTCACATGGCAAGCACTTGACATTCAGGACCATCGAACAGAAATTCAAAAGTTTGCATATCCAACTTTTATCAACTGGCAATATTGTACAATCACTGTCGCTCATTCTGGAGCACATGATTAGATTCAGATCATGCTCTAGTGCTAATGTGGTGTGGCAACTCGAACTGATGTACGTACGTACGAAGTTCCACGTTGTTACTGACTGACTGAGTAAATATCTGCTTCATACTTGGAATGGTTAAACTTCATTGGTCAATGATTCTCAGTAGAACTCGATGGGCTTTCTCTCGAAAATCAGTCTTTTATCTAGTACTTATTAATATTCTCTCGTTTATTTACCAAGTAGAGATAGATTTATAAATTACTTGTAAAGCTATACTGCCCTACATGTGAGGTCTGACCATACTAACTCAGTCAATCAAAATGAAGTAGGTATTGATGAAAATAGAACATGCGACCTGATGGTTGAAACAAGAGTGATTCGACCACAAAGCCACTGAGCTTGACGCGCTAAGCGCAAGCACTACTTGTTTTGTCTGTGCAACTATTGTCGAATCCATCGTACCCGGAAGTATGAACCAACTTTAATTCACAGGAATATATAATATTACTATCTAATAATAATTCAACATTGAACTATTCACTAAGCATACCTGCATAATCATGTTTTGAGCACGTGGTCGTATTTCATTAAATAAAGCCGCCAAACTCTGTGATGCCGTCGCAAATGGATTACTCGCAGCAAGAGTACGCATATAGTAGAACATTGCATCCAAATGCCTGGACTGATTACGAAAAAGCAAGAAGGGGTACAACAAAGAGTGATGATATTTGATATTTAAAAACAAGTAAGGAAACACGATTTTAAACAAATTGTTAAGTATAGTATATATAAAATTTGAGCCTATAACATAAAAAAAGTTTTTGTAACACTGAAACAGGACAGTGAAAATTATGCACACGGGCCATCAAGTGCTTCCAGGTTTGTAATGACTGTTCGACTTAGATCAGTTCGAGATCCCAATAAGATTATGGGTTCGTCGAATCCAAAATCGTATTACTTTTTGACAAGATTCATTCCATTCTACCACTATCAATTTGGTTAGGATGTTAGGGTACAGGAGATTTTTTTATATAAAGCGAAAACCTCAAACCTAAAACTACATTTTTACAATCACATACGTGGTTCTCAAGGTGCCCCCCCCCTAATAAAATTACCATCCGAACCATCTAAAACACAAAATCTAGACGAAAACATGATTTCTAACAACAAACTATCTACAAATTCACACTATTAGTTTAAATATGTTATCTCGAATTTGATTAGTCACTCAAGACCGTTGGTAGGATCTAGCTTTATGAGGCACATCTATCGAAAGTCACTTTATTGACATTTGTACAACATAGGTTTAAGGCATTCTCATCTGGTTGTTTTCCAGCTGAGAAATAATTCAAAGGCTAATTGTCTGCCAGTCAATTAATTGCAACATAAAACCTGGTACATTCGTAAACCAGTTCAAATTGCGATACCACAATAACACAGAGAGATGAAATTGCTAGAGCGAAACCCGGAGTAGTGGAGGTAATGACAGTATTAGTAGCAGTCGAAAAGACTAGACATCGAAGATGCATTTCGATAAATATGAACTAGTGAAGTAAAAACATTTAAGAAGGAATTAGGAAACTTGGGAACTAAAGGAGGACAAACAATGAATGTACCTGCTCCATTGAGAACAATTTCGAGCCATGTCACTCAAAATCTTTAACCATTTATCACATGGACCTTAACTGTGTAGTCTGCACCTACTTAAATGCCTCAGTCCGTTGGTCAGTATCTTCATGGACTGATGCATTGACTAGATTTAGTCGCCCCTAACTTTCGTCCGACCTACTCCTACACCAGTCATCGCCCAACTAGCTATTCGATGGATGGATATACGTAACATGTCCTAACCATCTCAGCCGATCAAAATTCACTACCTCATCAATTAACTCGCCATCTTTACATCGTATTCTGTGTCAGAGTGACTAACTCGATGGTCCCAAGATGCACGACCAATCGTTGTAAGACAACTATGGTTGGATACTAATGACCCACATACATCCCCTATCGTTAAATGTCATATTTTGCACCCATAATGTAGAACGGAGTGAACGGTTGTACAGTAAACTCGTCCTTTAATTCTCAGATATCGGGTGCCTCACCTATGCCACAAGTAACGCAAGATAGCAGAAGATTCATCCAGAGATTTAGTCACACACCAGTCCAACAGAGTTGATAAGAGTTTCGAGATAAGTGAAGTGATAAACACAGTCAACTACTTCACTCCCGATCACGATCTAGTGATTTCACGTTTCTATTGCTTGTATAGCTAAGACCTATTCATAATTTAAACTATGAGAATAATTAATTGTTAATTGTATCGATTCATTGGCCATGAAATAATCCATCAACATACAGTTAGTTGTGTTGAGAAAGACATAACTGCTGAATGGGTAACAATTCCACGTACATAACGGAACATATGCTAGCGGTGAATAATGCTTTTTTTAACTCTTAAAGTTAATCATGATTATATCTTCGCTTATTGTTCTTACCAACGCTGAAATGAGTAATTTTCTAAGTGGGAAATTGTCATCACAGTTATCGTAAGCATATCCGACTGGCAAGATAATAATTTATGGACAAACTAATAAGATTTAAGATAGAAAGTCTTGGATTTCGGTGCGAAATTCATTCATTCATAAAGTTGAGTAGTATCTTGACACTACAGCTTTCAATTCATGATAAAAACCCTTACTCTAATTCCTAACATCTAACTCTAAATCTTAATCCTAATTCGTCATACTAATTTATGATCTTCGTTTGATCCTAGTTCGTAGGTGAGTTGTCTTATGTTATTTTGGCTTCATTCAAAGGTTGTCTCACCTAGCAGTTTACAGTCATCAAATCAAGTTGGTACTTTCAAGGATGTAAAACCTTCAGAAAACTACCTACTTTCTGGCTATGATCTTCTTGCATTTAATTTTATATATTTAAATTTCATTTTTTTTCTCTCTGCGCTTGAACTTCTCAACGAAGGCTATTTTCTATTTAAACACAATTCATCATTAGTCACTGGGCATTTGAGTACAGTTAAATGTCGTTAATCTTAGGATAATTCTCTCTAGCATTAAAGCATATTAAGAACCTTTTTTTGAAAATTTTACTAAAAATATAATAATCATATGAATAGGATACGTATCCGCAATCTTTTTTAGCAAATCTGTTCTAAATGCGTGCAATATCTAGCATTTTTCTACTCATTTATTAAGTGAAAACTGTATATAAAAGTATAATTTACATTGACGATTTCATTTCAAGCGCTGACTCTTACTTTATTTATCTTTCTCATCTAACAAGTTGAAATGCACTATAGTAGTGTGTTCATAAAAGATATATGTAGATAGATTTGGATGATTAAAGTAAAGTCTTGAGTGAAAGTTACACTCTTATATACAGCACTAACATACTAAATAAATAAGGAAATTCTCAAAATTACTAGGTATTACAGTTTCATTGAAAAGTGAAAAAACGATAGTCATCTTCACACATGAATATATACCAGCTACAAAGTAGGACCAAGCACATATATGCATTGGTTGCCATGAACACTGGATTCATAGAAGTAGTTAATTCAGTGGTGATAATATATAAAAGAAAGATTGCATATAAGAACATAGTACATGAAGAAAGAATTAGTTCGTAGAAAGAAAGATATGAAGCGAATTTAATCTGGTAGTTTAAGGGAAGAGAGTGTGTATACAGCTACGCAACTGTGATCGATTCTGAGCCATGTCATCCAGGGTCTCCAATCATTGTTTACGATAGTCACCCGGACCCCAACCAAGTAGTCTGCATCTACCAACATGGCTAAGACTACATGTATATATATATATATATATATATATATATATATATATATATATATATATATATATATATATATATATATATATATATATATATATTCATTATCAAAACAAAAAAAACATGTTCACTTACAGTATACAAAGCTAAAACAGCTAATTGATTATATGACCGACCATTTTTCGGCACTAATAATTGAGCTTTTTGATACCAGCTAATAAAAGTTCAGAAAGTAAACAAATAATAGTAATAATAACGGAGAAATCCATTTATTGAAAGTTGATAAACATTTGATTTTGAACAAAATTTAAAAGCATATATATATATACCGAATATTGACATTTTTAAAATTAAAACAAATTGAATGGAGATTTTGTCAGTCAGTCAGTCAGCTACAACGTAGGACCAGGCACATATATGCATCGGTCCAAGTTGACATACACCATTAGCACAACAAGTTGAACACCGGATTCATAGAAGTAGTTAATCCAGTGGTGGTAATATATAAAAAAAAAGATTGCATATAAGGATACAGTATAAAAAGAAAGAATTAGTTCGTAGAAAAAAAGATATGAAGTGATTTTAATCTCATAGTTTGGGAGAAGACAGAGAGTGTATACACCTACACCATTCTGATCGATTCTGAGTCATGTCATTCAGAGTCTCTAACCATTGATTACGATAGTTACACGGACCCAAACCAGGCAGTCTGCATCTAACAACATGGCTCAGACCAGAAGTTAGTGACTTCAAGCACTGATGCCACGTTTTGGTTTGGCCGCCCCCAACTTTCTTCCAATTATCTCTAACACCGGTTAGCATTGCGCGTCGTGGTAATCGGTGTTCAGGCATACGCAACACGTGGCCCAACCATCTCAGTCGATGAAGATTCATAACCTCATCAACTGATTTACCATCATTCCTTAATACCGTGTGTCTAATCTCACTACTACTTACCCGGTGATCCCAGCAGATACCAGCAATATTTCTAAGGCATCTGTGGTCAAACACTAGTAAGTTACGAGTATCTTCTACTCTTAAAAGCCATGTTTCGTAGCCGTATAGTAGAACGGAACGAACTGCCGCGCAGTATACTCATCCCTTAATTGATAGACGGATATCTCGCCTTCGCCATAGATGACGTACGTTGGCAAAGGTCAAACGAACTTTTCGAATCCGTGCTGAGATTTCGTCAGACACCAACCTATTAGGGCTGATCAGACTTCCGAGATAAGTGAAGTTGTCGACGCGTTCGACTACTTCACTCCCTATCCTTAGTTCAGGTGTTGACGCAGACCAGTCTTCAAGCAACAACTTGCATTTAGAGGGAGAGAAGCGCATCCCAAATATTCTGGCATTGTTGCTCAGTGCTACCAAAAGACTCTGCATTTTATCAGCGTCTTCACAAAACAGGACAAGATTTTGTGTTGAAACTATAATTTATAGACGAACCAATCAGATTTAGAATAACAAATCTTGGATTTTGGCACGAAATTCGTTCATCCAATTGGCTAAATAAAGTCTTGGCATTTCAACTGTATATTAGTTCATGATGAATACCATAAATCTAATTCTTAACCATAACCACCATCAACTGTAACTCATAATTCTTATTCTTCACACTGCTATATGACCCTCATTTAGCCCTAGTACGTAGCTGGATATTCTCAAGGTCATTAAGGCGTCGCTCAAACGTCGTCCTCATTGCATATGTTTTTTCTGTTTACTATGATCATGTACATAATATTATGCCATTTAATCTATATACACTAAGTAATATGAATTGACTATAGTGAACACAAGGCTATTAATTTAATTACACAACAGTGAAGAAAATAAAAAAGGTAACAATACGAAAATGTGGCATCAGTTCATGAAATTATTGATTATTGTACTGAGACTGAGGTTCAAGTGGTAATTGTGATTAACAATTCGAGATGCTCAGTGATATGACTTATAATGGGTCACAATAGATTAGATGACTTTGCTCCATACGTTAAGCTCCAGTACTTTTTTGATACATATACTTTTCCCTTTGTTTCTGTAAACTATGTATAAACCAATGTTCACTTATTCGCATTATCATTACTATCACAATTATTTCAATTTCTTTTCTCGTTTATAATGTTACGTTTATTTAGTTGTGCTATTTATTATTTATTTATTTTAACACATAGATATCGGTACAAGAAGGCACCAAATACATATGCGCCACACATATCTCATTTGATATGTGTGAGGGCTGTGATACTGCTCGGGTGCCCAAACCGAAGCAGGTGGTTTTCTTAGGGGGCCACACCCCGTTAGTTGTGCTAACATAGTATGGGAACTTATAATAAGGCACATTTTCGTTACAGGCTTTACGCTGGTTACGGTTACTATGGTAAAAAAAGAAGAGTTTAGGTACCATGTACAAACATTGCGAGATGATTCAAACGACAAAAAAAACATGTTTTTAAATTTATCATTCTGCTGTAAGAAATAGATTTTAGTTCGTAATGTAAGAGCTGACAGCAGAACGTGTTTATTAGTCTAATTTGGCACACAAACAAAATGAGAAGCATAGAGAAGGAAATAATGTTAACGGTGTTGGAAAGTCCAATATTAGAAATATAATTCAAAAAAGAGTAAGTGATAGAGATGAGTAGTATGAAATGATACTTAATTCAAAGTGATTTAGTGGCTGAGGGGTTTAACTTTCAGTCACTAGGTCGCAGGTTTGAGTTCCACCCAACATATTTCTATTTAGGTAGCCAGGTAGTAAGTAGCACTGATCCTTACACAAAAGGTATGACTCAAAGCCAAGGACAAGAATATGTGCTTCGTAAGTTGTATCATTACATACAGGGAGACTTAGAATGATTGCAATTGGAACTTAACATCATGGCACTCACCATTTCTATTCCCATATTTTTTTTCCAACCTACTATAATACCCACTGAGACCGGATGTTAAAGTAGACTGAGGTTGTGAATGCAACTAGATCATTAAATGATTATTTAAGTTTACAGGATTATAAGTTTTCTTTGGCTTACGATCGTTATCTATACCATGTACTTAACCTCGATATTACCCACTTGGTTGTTTTGGCAAAAATGACTAACGCATCGCAAACGCCTACGGTCAAATAGTTGTAGCTTGCATATGCCTTCTAATTTTGCAGTTTGTGTTCTACAGTCAGAGATAAATACGAATAAAACTGCAGGGAGTAATATTTACTACTTGACAGAGAGTCGAACATCTCCGATTCTCCATAAATGGTACGATCTAGGTTTGATTTTGTATTCGTACTGAGATTTCGTCAGCCACGGACTTACTGGGTTAATAAGCTTTCCAATACAAGTGAATTTGTCAATGAGCTCAACTACTTCAACTCGATGTTATTTGTTTTCATACACAACAATCGTAATATATTTTTTTTAATTAGTCAACTACTAATATCAAGGGATTGGTAGCATTTTCAATACATAGGGATTTTAAAGTTAATTAGGAAGTCTGTACGTTTCATGTAATTTAGATAGATGATTTCGCGGAAACGTTTGTATATCCAGAAAGTTATTTTTATTATGAACTACTATCAATTAGAAAAACTGAAAATCAAGAGATCACCGAACAACACCCTCATGATCGTTTAGACCTCTTGAACAGTAAACACTTACGGTTTCATACAGAATGAAATTCAGGACGTTCATGTATCGTAATAAGTATAATGCCTTTACACCGGTGACTTAAAATTTTATAGACTATTTCGACATAATATTGGAGTTGAAGCACCAACTAGGCGACTCATGATACTTATATTAGGCTATGATCTAATAATTTCGATTCCAGACTATCAAATCGCTGGGTTATGGCTTGGAACAGAACACCAACTAGCAGATGGCGTCGTAATTATATAGTTGATACAACTTATATGTAATGAGTGAAAATTGCATAATTATGGAGCTGTAGAGACATGATTTACAAAGTAACTTTAAGTCGGATATATAAGTGTGTTCTTCCATGGCTAAAAATATTATCAGTACAAAAATAAATGATTCAGTAAGTACCAAATAAAAATTAATGTTACCTATTGTATGTAATTGAAAATAATTAATCATTACTTTATTGTACGTGTTAAACTTAAACTTACTTTCGTGCTTTACCAAAATTTCGTTCACCAACTAAAGTTTCTCTATAACGAGCTAAATCGCCAAGGAATAGCATTAATTTTTGAGCACTTAAATAGACTAATCGTCGAGTTCTTGATTTTGTTTCTGGAGGTGGTCTACCATCTGATAATAATGGACCAAGTTGAATATGATGTATGCTTTGTATACGTTCAAGTAGAGAGGCTAATTGATTTGATCCAGAATCAATCACTTCAGATAAGCAAATTTTTTGAATAAGGTTAACTAATTGACTTTGGAGAAGTTTTATAGTCTCAGGATTTTTATCTAGTTTAGGAATTAACCTAAGATAAGATTAAAAATAGCAGTTTAGTAAAACGTTTATTATTATTTTAATGTACACTGGAACATTCAGATGTGATAACGAGCAAAGTCCGTAACTCAACGGATATGAAATTAAACCTAAAGGCAAAAGTATATAATCAATTAAGTGTAGCGACCCGCTACGTAAGAATAAAAACAACGAGTTGAGTAAGTCTAAAATCAAGCAAGTGAAAATAAATGTTCAATATTATTTGTAAAGAAAGTAATAAGTAATAAAACAGATGGAATGAAAATTAGATAATCAGATTACTAAGATAGATAGATTGTGTAGGAATAAAACTATAAATTAAAACTTATTATTCTCTTTCCTTCTTTGACCAAACAAGACGAAGCGCAGAGCTTTTCAGAAATTTTTTAACAGAATTTATCAAGCAGTTACTTTCACCAAAGAATAAAAAATGAGATCACCCCTTCTTTCTAGATGTCTCATTGACGAGAAAACCTAAAGTGGGGATAAAAAATATTTATCGTGAACTGATTAAGCCGAGTCCATATGCACGCTTTTGAGCTTTGTCCCAATACGTCAAGAGCAAAATTTACCAAACATTTTGTTTTTATGATACTAATGGAAAGGAGCTAAGACGTACCTATGATCTACTGGATATCCATCAAAGAACCTAATGAAACCTGCGTGTAACAAAATCTAAAGTAAAATCATTAACAGTACCGATGAAATCTTTATCCCTCAAATCACATTCCACAGATGATATAACCAGTTATATGATGATACGGCGAATAATAAAAGTAGCAGAGAAAACACTTAATACATCATCAAATTTAGAAAGATAAATCAATTTCACAGCAGATAAGTTGTAGCTCAAACTGTCCAACAAAAAATGTCTTTGTTGCTAAGGCAGTTGACGGAGATTTGAATTTCAGGAACATATGTTTCTTCAAGTCTGTAATGATGTTTTGGCAAACAGAAAAAGTGGATAAAATATTTCTAACTGGTCACTTTTAGTTACTATAAGACCAAGAGGTGGATCAAATCCAGGTAACAATTACAACGATTAGATAAAAACGAATCATTAATATAAATGAGTTTATTTTATTATTTATTTGAACACACAAATATTGCTACAAGGGGGCACCAGATACATATGCGCCATACATCTTATCAGGTTTGTATGAGGGCTGTGATACTGCCCGGGTACCCAGACCGCAGCACAAGTCCGAGAGGGCGCGGGTTTGGATCCCGCCTCCATTACAAACTTTGGGACTCAGTAGCTAAGTGGATAACGCGATGATGTTTGAAACGAACGGTTCTTGGTTCGAGTCCCAGAGTGAACATCAACTCTGGGATGCAGGTACATCCAGCTGATGAGTCCCAAATAGGATGAAACGCGCTTTGTCCTGGACATAAATGAGTGATTAGCGACACAAACACTTTACAATTCACTTGACAAAATATATGTTAACTCAAATTTACACTATATCGTTTATGTGACATGTTAAAGGTGGGCGTCCGCTACCGCAAAACTGGATGAAATTAATGAGTTACGTTTTATTTTTGTTTGATGTCATCAAATTGACTATGTACATGCGTTACAAAATTCCGTGAGTTTTATCAAATTGATGATAATCAGTGACTTGGAGGTGTAATGGCTTGACTTTTAATCACTGAATTTCGAATTTAAATATAATAGAACCAACTTCAATTTAATAAAACAACCTAACGATGAGTTATTAATTGAATGTATTTAAAAGTATTACTATAACTACATGAATAAGATTAATAAACAACATACTGTGTAGATTGTGGATTTTCGATCCATGAACGAAGTGATTCCAAGACAGTGTAAAATACCGACTTCCACATACCTTGTTCAACATGTGCCGTATTACAGAAGTCCAAATCTGCAACTATTACACTTTCAAATAGTAAAAATAAACTATCACGAAGTCGCTTCACTGTACCCCACCAACGTAAAAACAATGCTTCTGATTCCGTCCATTCTCTTCCTAATTCAGGATCCGATTGTAATGGTTCGAACAACACCATTGATTGAGCACATAGACCAGGTGGAATGAGTAGAGCTGATAGAGTAGCATCAAGTTGAACAATTTGTTGCATAGTTGATGCAATCATTTCGCTTGGTAAATAAACAGAAATTTAACAGAAGATTATTACTACATAACTATGACTTAATTATACATATGGCTTCAGTAAAGTTATTCAAATGCAGCCAAAATACGGCATTCAAAAGCAATGAGAAGATATGTATGAAGGAAAAATAGAACTCAAGATTTAGAGGTTAGAGGGGTTGTACTCCACTCCCTGTGATTGACTTAAAGCAATGTTACCTAGTGTTACCAATTACTGATCGTGAATATTGCGCGGAAGTCAATCAGGTAGCTGAAAGGGACACCACTAGCTTCTACACAAAACAGTGATTTACAGCCGAATACGTAGACACATACTTCATAAGTTTCTAATATTATTAGTGCAATAATCGGTAGAAACAACGTCCAAACAGCAAGTGGCTAAAAGCCAAGTATATATATATATATATATATATATATATATATATGCATAACTGTACCTCCCTACTATATAATACCGACAGTTTTGTTGAATGTAGTCTTATTGGGACCATTTCTGAGTGTAATCTCATTGGTAGTTCGATATACCATAATAAAAAACTTCACTAACAGGTGGTGGAATTGTTTGCTGATGGTACACATATAAACCAAAATATTCACCGTCCGATTAAAAACTCAGCTTCCCAAAGTTAGTGGAGAGAGAGAAGAATAATCTAAAGATGAAATGATAAATTATCGTGAACAAATAAATAAAACGAAGGCATATATGTAAATCTCCATATTATCTTTAAATATCACGTTTTATTTTCTTTTCTATAGTGAATACTGCGCGCTTCCATATATCTATTTATTTATATATTTATTTGAACACAAATATTGGTACAAATGGGCACCAGATATATACGCGCCGCACAATAGCAATGAGAATGTGAAGAGATAGAGAATGTAAGGTGCATATAAGAAAATGGGGAACAATAACGAACAGAAATTAGTGTATGATGGTGTAATAATAATGGGAGAAGCAGTTCAGTTAGAAATGGTACAAAAAGAAAGAATTCTTCCAGTTAAAGAAGTTACGTTCACTTTTTATGAAGTAAAATAAAGTTACAGCAGAATTGCCACTGGCTTCTATTCTGAGCCATATATGATAACGTCTCTAGCTTTGTATTGCACCATCTCTAGGATCCAAAACAGGTAGTCGTGAAGGACCAACAGAGGCCAGTCCTGTACAGCTTTATTTCATAATACTTCCATTTAACTGATGGCACAAATATATACTAGACTAATCAATAGCGAAAAAAGAAGTCGTTGAATTGAAATTCATTCTAATAACGGCTTAAAAACACGAAACAATATAATTCTTACACATTTGTATGCAAAACAGTTTTGCTTACTTTGGAGGCTGGATGATTGTTGATCCTGGAGATAAACAAGTCGGTTGACTAGCGAAATGATGCGTTGAGGATGGTCTTTCGGCTTGAAGAGACGAAGATGAACTAAATTTGGTTTGAGTTTTGAAAAACTGATAGAAAGCAGCCTTTGCAGCGTCTGTCCATGGGACAGGTAAAACAGTGGTAGGCGATTCAGTAGAAGCGTCACTGGCGAGACAGTGTGGACTCATATCATTGTCTGATTTCTGTTTACATTGACTGATACATTTTGGCTCGTCAACTCCATGTGAATCCAATCTAGTACTAGTAGTTCTGGAATGATTGTATGGATTAGAGAAGCTTGGACGGACAACAACGACTGGTTTAGTTGAATCAGCTGATAAAAGGAGTTTAGACAATAATCCAATGGAATAATAAGTACTAAGTGTCTACATTTTTCAAATAGTTGAAGAATGAGTTAAAACTACATAAACTATGGAAGTAGATGAAATCAGTTACTGTACTAATATGGAATCAACAACAGCATGAAACAGACGCTTAAAAAGCATTGCTAATAATTACTTTAGAAAAAAACACCTGAATATCGCCGCAGACAAAAAAAATTCAAAATAAAACTAAAATCAGACGGAAATCATTCGGAATTTTAGCAATTTTAGATCAGTCGGTCAGTTAGTCATATGCAAGAGTCTGACAAATGTACGTCAGTTCAAGTTATCACATCACATATCATCACAGTGAGATGAGACTATTAGGACGAATTTCACAGTGTTAACAATGCAGTGGTAGTAGAGAAGATTAGGCATAGACGGCATGACACGAGGAATTCGTGGAATAGAAAGTAGAAGATAGCTTGAAACTTAGGATACAAGTTATGATAGAGCGGATGCATCTGTGACATTTCACCCAGCGTCTTCAGATACCGTACACGATGGGTGGGTAAAACCCAAACCAGATAGACTGTGTTTATCTAAACAGCTCATCCTAAGTCAGTGACTCAATGGATTGCTGGAACGTATTTAAACGACTAGCTTATATAACTTAGAAAACACAGAAGTGAACAATTTGAAACCTAAAAAAGCAAAAAGATTGTTTAATTTTAAATTAAAGTCTCAATAACTCTAGGTTCTATATATGTTTTATCCATGTGTGCTTGTTGATGTAACTAAACATTATGATCATTGATATATTTGATGACCAACTGACTATGATACTGATTCCTTATTTCCGACCTTTTAACTTTGTTCAGATGTGCTGATGAGGCGTGGAAACTTGAGCCAACAAAATATCGCCTGGCAGTCTGTTTTACGTAACTATCTTTGAAGTAACGTTGACATTCACACAATAAATTCCTTCTTTACCAAACATTTCTTATTAATACACAATAATTCTGGGTGCAAAGCAAATTTTAATGCATCTGCAGCTGTCAGTTTGATGGTAGACAACATTATGTCACGTTACCAATAAAGTTGTACAAAGATTAGTGCTGTTATAGAGCACATCTGAGTTCTCAGTAAATACGCTTTTATATTAAAATAACGACTGAGATTGCAGCACCAAATCATTATTGAAGACAACACTACAAAGCATTAAGCTTTGGTGATAAATATGCCGCTGCGGATCCTATGGCGTACTGAGAGTTCTATATGGCAAAGGTACGAAGAAGAAGTTAGCATAACAATTATCCTTAGTCTATATGAAACAGTGGTAGGTAAGGTCAGTACGTCACAACCTAAAGCAAGAAGAATCTGAGTCAATCAGGCCATAGTGATAAAAAGAGCCTGACCATCTGTTCTGCGTAGGCATCTGCCAGGTGGTACGAATCCCATTTTAAGTAGAGATATTATGAAATCAAAATAATACATAATATTCATGTTCTGAAAGTAAACGACCTACATCTAACTGCCTCACGTCGTAAACTCTTTGAGTTTTGAGTACTTTGTTGAAATATGTCCACATCTTTCGGTAGAAGGATAAGTCCACCATGTTTTTCTGTAGAATTTTCTGATGTCAAATCTACGGAGGTATTCGTGAGCACACGTGAACTCTGTACATTGGGACTCGTAGCAAAAGATTCTTGACGTGGTTTTGAAGCAAATTGTCTATTGGTACTGACGGATCTGGAGTCGCTGAAATTTAGTGAAGTGCTAACGACCGGTTTCGTATTAGCATCAATGGAACTGGAATTTAAATTTGACACATGAGTGAAACCATCAGATCTCAGCCTGTTCGTATTTTTACAATCCTGAGTGTAGCGAGTGTTTTTGGTTTCATTAACAAGAGACTTTTGTTGGGAATGGTGTGTATGTACAGAATCAATTCTATCTTTCTGGTGGCTTTGTGGTTCTGTCGAAGCAACAGGGATAGTTCGACCAGTTCTGACACTACGAGAATTCCCGTAATCTTCGGTGGTTGTTTTGTACCGTGGATGATGATAAAAGTCTCTATCTGGTCTTTTATTTTTCATATAGATCGATGTTTAGCAATGGGCAGTTGCAGTAGCGCAAATAGTAATCTGTGCGCTTCAATATCCAATACCAGACAATTAGTTAGGTTGAACGTTTGTTCAACCTATATTAATCCTTGCGACTTGTAGTACTGTGAAGAGCCAATATCATTTACAATGTATCAACAGAAGGTGCTAACATTATCTGTTTCAGTAGGCGGTTTCAGTAACTCATTACAGATTTTAGAATTCAGATTGGTATAGTAAGGACAAAAGGCTTACGGCCTATGTTATCCCTTTTCTAGTATGTTTCTGTGAATGCCCAGACTTCTCTTGAAAGAGTCAATTGAAAGTGCGGACACCACTGCTTCAGGCAGCAGGTTCCAAGTCATATCGTAGAACTAGAGGCGACTTGATTACAGTTTTCAAATTGCTTAGTGATAAATTTGCACCTGATATGCCCTCATTTTTCCTGTCTTCCAAAACAGAGAATTTACGAGGACACTTCAAAAAAGTTCACAAGCCCAGAACAAATCACTTGTCAGCTGAGTATCGACTTTCCCACCGAATCATCAACGAGTGGAATTCATTAACTCAACACGTGGTTGAAGCTCCATCCATAGATTCTTTCAAAAGAAAGTTGGATCAACTGAGAGAACACAATTGCCAAGACTAACACAGGCCATCAAGCCTCCTGTCCTTTCCAAACTGAAACTGACTCAATGTGAAAACCTGTATGCCACGGGTATTTTATTAGCAGTATCTTGTCAACTCATTGCGCGAAAACGCTCTTGTACCTCTAATGGGACCGAAGTTCTCAGGAATTCTATCAGTGACTTTACAAGCACTGATTGGTCCTACTCAGACGATCTATTACCTGGTTGGGAAGAGTATTTTTCGGGTGACGTTAATACTACTATATATTGTCTTTATTTTAATCTCAAGATTTGTTTAGACCTGATCGTCCCAATTATAAGAAAACAACCCTGCACCCTTCATTGTGTTTATACTCCCATCAAATTTAGTTATAAACTGTAGAAGTTGGGAAAACGTCCTTCGTTCAACATGATTTTTAGCTACTCTCAAAATCCGATCGGTATTTAGCAATATAAAAATTTTTCGACGAACAAAACAATTAGAAACTGAGTGACGGTTTGTAGTGGCATTGGAATAAGAATGGTTTTCAACAGCTACTCCAAAGAAGAGACTTTGTATCTAATCTAGTATTTCTGCTGTTCTAAAGCTCAATGATGAACTTATAAGACACCTAGCAGAGCTATGTGAGCTGCTTAGCATATCATTTGCACGGACATTCAGTAGATGTCATCAGGATAAACATTCAACCTACAGGTTCAGTTCATACACATTAGAAGACCTGGAATTCACGCCGAGTATTGTGAGAGATGCAATAAAGTCATTGAAACCTTCTCTCGGAAGTGGTTATGATGGAATACCGATTAATTTAATTGAATATAGACTCACTGACATTCCTATCCTGCTTACTAAAATATTTAATCTGCCCCTCGATTAAGGCATTTTCTTGCGCAATGGATAACTACATACATTTTCCCTGATTTTAGAAGAGGATTCGGACTGTACATTGACAAATATCATCCAAATAACCACATTTCCCGTCATTTTGAGCTGTGATAAAGATTATTAGGAAGGCAATTGGCAGTCATCTCGATACGCACCAATTCATTATATCTTCACAACACTAATTTATTTCAAAAAAGTCATGCATAATCTGTTACTTTCTGGAACAAACAAAATAGTTGCATAAGCATTATCCCATATAGCTTCCTTGAATAGCAACCAAGCTATCGACCTTCCTAAACTCGTCCACCTTCTAAAAGAAGACGATGATCTTCAGCACGAGTTGTCTTCAACAACCCTAAAACTAAGCATCAAGCAGATAGAAACGGGTAAGGAAACCTTACTATGTGATACATTCACAGGAAGGGGTCTTATAGTAGTGCCCAAACATTATCGAGGCAATGTCTTCAATACCTTGTACAAACTTTTTCACCAAGGTTTTTAAGCAACCATCAAGCTCATACCAGAACGACATAACTGGCCTGATATCAATAAAGATGCTCTTTTGATCGCATTTATCTAAACTTGGCAGAATCTAAACCTGATTCGAATAGATACTTTTGTCTCTTAACGTGTGTAGACCGTTTTATGAGATCGCCAGAAACAGCACCGATCAAGGGCATTACTGCCGAGACGGTGACCCACACCTTCATAGAACGATATGTATCAAACTTCTACTGTCCCTCAACTAGTGCTACAGACCGTGACAGTCAGTTCGAATATTAACTTTTCCGCTGTCTTACCACACTACTAGAGATCACACAACTCAGAATGTCCTCTACAGCTATAATGTATCAAGGAGGTAGAACAGTTTTACGGACAGTTTAGGGCTTCACTCTTAGCTGCAGAAGTTTCGCCGTGGACCGACGCCGTTCCATTCGTGTTGCTCGGTATTCGAAACGCAGTAAAGTCTGACACTGAATACGCTGTGGCGCAACTTCCCTACGGAACGACACTCTAACTTCAGTTAAACCTGTTTCCACTCGACCGCGGTCAACTGATGTTTTCGTTTAACCAGTCCCATGATATAGCACATATGTTTTCGTACATTCAGCCTTAATATAACGACCTCTAAAAATGGCGTATATATATATATATATATATATATATATGTTACCTGTCAAAAAAATAACTCAAAGAGAATCATGGTGCGAAAATTGTTTATACACCATTGTACGTTAGTAAAATGCATGTATGTGAGTTTATTTTCCTTTGTCGCCCGTTCTGTATCCTTAAATACGCACGAGTGTATCTGGACAGCATCTTTTTCCAGAACGGCTAGAAAAGATGAAAAACCGATGAAGTTTAGGATGAATCGGCATTTCCATTTTACTTGGTTTTCACTACTATTATGTACCACATGGCTCCTTATAATGAGGAAAGACGATCAGATGCTACTGAATATAGTAAGTTACCAGAAGTGTTTATGAACAACAAGCTAGTTGGGTTTAAACGTCTTGCTGGCCACGCCTTAGGGTCATGACTACCCCACTAGTAAGGTAGTGAGCTGTAGGATGAATAATAATAATTTGTTCTCAAACAACAGATTGTTAAATGAGTCATACCAGTTTACAGAAAATATAAAATTGTTACAAATGATGCGAGTTCCACTGTAGTAAACTACTCAGCTGGGCTGACAATTTATAAGATATGGATGTAGATGGTTTTAGTCAGTATAACAGCTGGCGCGCTTCATGAAAGTTGCGTTGCGACGTGCTAATCATGGTGGAGGATAGATTTATTGAAGGTGTGAGCTTCTAGAAATCGCAACCTTATATCACTTTGAAATATCTGAGGATTTAATGATGGTGCAAGACAAAGTCACCCGTTTCGTATCCCACATTTACTGCATATACTGGTCTTGGATTTCTGGGCAGTGGTTACAAAGCAGAATCTTGTCAACTCATTGCGCGAAAACGCTCTTGTACCTCTAATGGGACCGAAGTTCTCAGGAATTCTATCAGTGACTTTACAAGCACTGATTGGTCCTACTCAGACGATCTATTACCTGGTTGGGAAGAGTATTTTTCGGGTGACGTTAATACTACTATATATTGTCTTTATTTTAATCTCAAGATTTGTTTAGACCTGATCGTCCCAATTATAAGAAAACAACCCTGCACCCTTCATTGTGTTTATACTCCCATCAAATTTAGTTATAAACTGTAGAAGTTGGGAAAACGTCCTTCGTTCAACATGATTTTTAGCTACTCTCAAAATCCGATCGGTATTTAGCAATATAAAAATTTTTCGACGAACAAAACAATTAGAAACTGAGTGACGGTTTGTAGTGGCATTGGAATAAGAATGGTTTTCAACAGCTACTCCAAAGAAGAGACTTTGTATCTAATCTAGTATTTCTGCTGTTCTAAAGCTCAATGATGAACTTATAAGACACCTAGCAGAGCTATGTGAGCTGCTTAGCATATCATTTGCACGGACATTCAGTAGATGTCATCAGGATAAACATTCAACCTACAGGTTCAGTTCATACACATTAGAAGACCTGGAATTCACGCCGAGTATTGTGAGAGATGCAATAAAGTCATTGAAACCTTCTCTCGGAAGTGGTTATGATGGAATACCGATTAATTTAATTGAATATAGACTCACTGACATTCCTATCCTGCTTACTAAAATATTTAATCTGCCCCTCGATTAAGGCATTTTCTTGCGCAATGGATAACTACATACATTTTCCCTGATTTTAGAAGAGGATTCGGACTGTACATTGACAAATATCATCCAAATAACCACATTTCCCGTCATTTTGAGCTGTGATAAAGATTATTAGGAAGGCAATTGGCAGTCATCTCGATACGCACCAATTCATTATATCTTCACAACACTAATTTATTTCAAAAAAGTCATGCATAATCTGTTACTTAAAATAATTTTATTATATTATAAAAAACGGGGATGTAGAGAAGCTAGTTGTCACTCTCTATTTTAACTTTACCAATACGTTCGATAAAGTACAACATTATGCCCTCTTATTTAAATTAAAGACTTTCGGTGTAGCAGGTAAAATGCATAAATGCATCTTATCCATTTTAGAAAATCAAACACAGATAGTGGGAAAAGGGAAACGCTTCTCCGATCCTCAGAACATTACTAGTGGTGTCTTGCAGGGCTCAGTAATTGGACCCTTATTGTTCATCATGCATGTTAACGACATATGCAATTGCTTTAAACTTGGTAAAATCTTTCTATTTGCTGACAGCCTTAAAGTAGTATGTTCATTCAACCCACATCCAAGTTTAAATGTCAGCTGTATGATACAAAAAGGCCTGGAAAGACTCCAAGACTAATGTGAAGCATGACTTTTCCCTCTTAATACCGTAAAATCTGTTTACATACACTTCGGCACATTTACTCCGTAGAAAGGCTTGCAGCTGAACAAGATGTAATTTAGATAGCTAAGTAGCATCCGCGATTTAAGTGTAAAATATTTCAAAAGTCTTTTTATTCACCGGACAGGCTA